GGAATTAAAATTTAGCCAAATATTGTGATGGTACCCCTTGGAGCTCGAGGAGTTTAGATATTATTGACAAGACTTTCTAACATGAAACTTTTATAAGGGATTTTACATTCAAATAGAAACATCTATGTCAAATTCGGCAACTTTTTTGATGAACTTAAAATTTGGCCAAAAAAACGTGATGGTACCCCTAGGGCTCGAGACCAAAACCAAAAAAATAATAATTAAGACATTATTGACATGTCTTTTTGGCATGAAAATTTTACAAAGTATGGTATATGTAAATAGAAACATTCATGTCAAATTTTGCAACTTTTTTGATGGTATTAAAATTTAGCCAAATATTGTGATGGTACCCCTTGGAGCTCGAGGGCAAAACAAAAAAAATAATAATTTAGATATTATTGACAATACTTTTTGACAAGAAACTTTTACAAAAGAATTTACATTCAAATAGAAACATCCATGTCAAATTTGGCAACTTTTTTGATTAATTTAAAATTTGGCCGAAAAAACGTGATGTTACCATAGGGCTCGAGGCCAAAACTAAAAAAATAATATTTAATACATTATTGACATGTCTATTTTGCATGAAAATTTTACAAAGGATTGTATACGTAAATAGAAACATTTCTGTCAAATTCTGCAACTTTTTTGATGGAATTAAAATTTAGCCAAATATTGTGATGGTACCTTTTGGAGTTCGAGGGCAAAACTAAAAAAATAATACCCTAATTTAGATATTATTGACAAGACTTTTTGACATGAAAATTTTACAAAGGATTTTTACATTCAAATAGAAACATCCGCGTCAAGTTTTGGCAAGTTTTTTGATGAATTTAAAATTTGGCCAAAAAAACGTGATGGTACCCCTAAGGCTCGAGGCCAAAACTAAAAAAATAATAATTAAGAAATTATTGACATGTCTATTTGGCATTAAAATTTAGAAATGATTGTATATGTAAATAGAAACATTCATGTCAAATTTTGCAGCTTTTTTTGATGGAATTAAAATTTAGCCAAATATTGTGATGGTACCCCTTGGAGCTCGAGGACAAAATTAAAAAAAATAATAATTTAGATATTATTGACAAGACTTTTTGACATGAAACTTTTACAAGGGATTTTACATTCAAATAGAAACATCCGTGTCAAATTCGACAACTTTTTTGATGAATTTAAAATTTGGCCAAAAAAACGTGATGGTACCCCTAAGGCTCGAGGCCAAAACTAAAAAAATAATAATTAAGAAATTATTGACATGTCTATTTGGCATTAAAATT